CAATATGATAATGATTATGACGTAGGTCTATCATAGCGTATGTAAAACAATCTTTGGTAACCAGTGCTGAGCCTATAGTTGCCAAGTAAGGCATAAATGATTGCTTTTAATATCCCACACTGTAGTTAATAAGCCAGAGCTCTTGTTTAAATTTAATAACGCAGCCTATTCCCTCGTTAGGCCTAACTGATTGCTTTTAATAAATAACCCACCCTATGTAGTAGGAAACCATGCTGTTAATAATTTCAATAACCCACCCTTGTCATTTTATGACTCAGAGCTCCCTTGTAAACACGCGAGAGGAATGTTTAGCCATTGTTAGCAGCAAAGGAAGCAGTCTCACTGCTGATTAATTATTCAATAGTTATCTGACGTCATTTTAGGCTTCCTACATTCTGATTGGCTAAAAGAAACATATATTTGCTTATGTGTACTGCAGAAAAAAAATACGCGACCCGGACGCACCTGTCCACTAACATGCGATCCTTGCCGGATAACGGTAGATCCAGAACAGCTGGACACCCGATTCACCATTGGATTTCTTGGTTCGACATTCATAGTTGTTTTTACTGACAGCTGTCAGCGCCTAGGCAAAGTTTTAAGTACAGTAGCATGCCTAGAACTACTGTACATCTCAGGACCTTCACACATCGATTCCAACGGAGCGTTTAACGCGACAGCTGAGATGCGAAAAGGTGGCCCCTCAGAGAGAGTTGAAGCGCACTGCTGTTGCCCAGTGATGATGATAACTGCTCCTATGTTTTGCCAGAGCCTACTTGCCCCTCTCCCACTAGGTTTTTTTTTCAGTATACGAGTTACAAGAGAATGCCGAGTTGCTAACTCGGCAAACTCGGCAAAAACTCGTAGGACGATTCGGAAAGCTCGGAGAGGACTCTTACCTACTCGTAGCAGCTCTGAACTCGTGGCGCTAATTTTGAACATGTTCAAAATTATCGCCACGAGTAGATAACTCGTAGTAAACTCGAAGAACTCATAGGTAGCTCGTAGAGTACTCGTACCAAGCTCGTACACTACTCTGGATACTCGTCGGCGGTTTTGTCATCTACGAGTTTGATGCGAGCACCCCGAAACCAGTACGAGTAAGTACGAGCGCACCGAGTTGGCTCGTACCTAACTCGTATCTAATTCGGTACAAACTTGTTACGCTCTTAATAATCTCGTAGTTAACTCGGTGCTCTGCTCGGCATAATTCGTACATAACTCGTAACCAACTCCATAAAGTCGTACCTCACTCCTAGCTAACACGTAATAAGCTCGTATAGGTCCTTTCCAAAGATCACGAGTTTTAACTTGTAGAAATCGTACGACTCTTAGGTGAAATAAACCTAGGTGGGAGAGCAGCTTAGTCCCCAAGCCTCACGGCTTGGGTTATCAGGGCCACCACGGGAAGGTGTAGGTTGGCTGGGGTGGAGAGGCTATAAGCCCACAGAAGGCCCACACACTGTGCAAGACCAATCCAAGCATGGCCCTGTGTGTGTGACGCATCCATACTAAAATTTATACCCATAACCCAAATGTATACCCATAACTAATAAAAATAAATAAATAAATAAATTATTCAAACGAGAGAGTAGTCCAAAATTCTATAGCTTTAGGAATCCATAAATACGGTAGTCGTGTTAGATTATTTTTTTTATCATAGGCCTACCATTTGTAACGCTAGTCATAATTTCAAATGAGTCTTGACCATGATGTTAATGCCTTTCTTGAAGCATTAATAACTACTTCATTTGCAAATATACTTACTGATACTAATTTTCAAAAGAACAGTTCTTATCGTCATCATAGACGAAGCCTATATTTAATTACGTATAGTGTTGGCCTTAACGGCCCAAACAAGACATGATTCGGCAGTACCTCCACCATCATTAGTTAACATAGTATTGCACAAAGGCAATCATTTGTATAAGGAAATTTAATTTTGAGAAGTTGAGTTGTTGAGGCGGAGTCCAATATGGTAAAACAGTCCTCATTGGCTAGTTGTTTGCAATGACGGGAGCTTTTCAAATGTGATTTCTCATCCACCATTTTAGGTGCTCGCGCAGGCGTGTCGAAGAATGTCGGCCTGTCTCGCCAATGTAACAGCATAACAGCCTGCACATATAATACACATAAACCATTTTATGAGGATTAGTTTGAAACAGCGCCGCCAACGTTTCATAACTCACTGGGTTACTTCCCAGTGGTGGCGCCAGGACCTGCCCGACAGAGGGGCTAATGGCCCCGACG